GGGGGGGGGGGGGGGGGGGGGGGTGGTGCAGTCAGCCTGAGCCCATCTGCCCAGCTGACAGAGAGTGCGATCAGCCCTTCTCTACTCTGCTTACTTCCTGGCATTTTGTGTGGGGGCCCAGAGAGGGAAGCTTTTGGTAGAAAACTTGGAAATATAGATTTTCATGGGGGGATCCACTAGTTTTAAAAGATTGGCTTCAGGGCACCTGGATTGGCTTCAGGGCACCAACTCTTGATTTTGGCTCAAGTTATGATCTCATGGTTCATGAGATCGAGACCTGCATGGGACTGTGCACTGACAGAGCAGAGCCTGCTTGGGATTCTTTCTCTCCCTCTTACTCTGCCCCTCCCCTGCTTGTGCAATAGATAGATAGATAGATAGATAGATAGATAGATAGATAGATAGATAAAGATTGGCTTCTAGACCAGTGCCTGAAACACATATAGTGACATTCACTCATGACGTGTAAAGTCAGGGGAAGCTTTTGTACTTATTATATGAGTTATAAATATGTCCCTGGAAAGAAGGAGGATAAATCTCTGTAGTTGTGACTCGATGCTTTTTACAAAACATGAAGGAATGTGGCTTTTAATTATAAAGGTCTGGAAACACTAGGCAACAGTACCCACCCACCCCACCGCCAATGTAGCCTCCACCCAGAGGCTCTGATATAACATCCTTGACCTGGGAAGGCAGGTGTAAGGCCCCTGAGTTCTTGTGTCTATTTCATTCTTCATCCTCCTACACTATCACCTGTAACTAAGACCTTTCTGAATACCCGGGATTTAAAAATGAATGACTTGGTGCATGCTTGGAGACGTGAAAACATCTTTCCCAGAGAGAAATCAGATCTACTGTAGACAGAATGCCACTGAATGTCAGAGCCAGGAGGAAAAATTACCCAGTTCCCCTCCCTCTGGGCCCCATTTTACAGATTGGACAAGTGAGGCTCAGAGACATAACGAGGCCCACCGAGGGGGCCTTACCAGACTTCCAGAATGGTATCATTCCTTTCCAGGGCCTGCAGAAGGACTTCAGCTCCAAGGTAGGTGATGTGGTTGTTGGACAGCCTGGAGAGGAAGACAGAAAGGTGAGCTTCAAGAATGTTGGTTCTCCTCTCGGGCCTGTCCAATGAAAAGAGGCTTTGGGAGTTGGCCCCCTTGACACATCCCTCTCTTGTCTGCGATTCCCAATGAGCCTCAGTGCCTAAAGAGAAAGGCACCCCTCTCTCCTCTGTTCACCAGATGTGTTTATCTAAGGAAGCAGCTACTCCCTTCCGAAGGCGATACTGCATGGTGGTTAAGTATGTGCATTTTAGGGGCGCTTGGGTGGCTCAGTTGGTTAGGCGTCCGACTTCAACTCAGGCCACGATCTCACGGTTCGGGAGTTCAAGGCTCGCATGTGCTGACAGCTCAGAGCCTGGAGCCTGCTTTGGATTCTGTGCCTCCCTCTCTCTCTGCCCACCCCCCCCTTCTCTCTCAAGAATAAATAAGCATTAAAAAAATTTTTTTTTTAAGTATGTACATTTTACTTCCTGGGTTCCAATCCAGCTTACACCACTTCCTTTTTAATGTCGGGCAAATCAGTCCCAATTTCCTCATCCGTAAGGCAGACCTAAAAGAGCACCTGCCTCATGAAACATAAGAATGAAAAGAATGGCATATTCTGCGGGGCAGTTGGCACCATACCCAACTGATAGGAAATAATCAACGAACAGTAATATTTTCGTATGGCGGTGGGCAGGGGAGGGGCGTGGAATCGAGAAAATACAAGATTGGGAACTGAGAGGGGAGAACTCACACCGTCAGGGACAGCAGGGAAAGAGCCACTGCCCCATGCTGCTCTTTTGCTCACAGCTTGGCCTTCGAGGCATCACCACCTGTCTGCCACCCCCACGGAGTAAGGAACATCCGGGAAGCTGACCCTAAGGCAGTGCCAGTGTTAACAACGGCCAGTATCTGCTGGGCTCTTACCATGAGCCTGCTCAACACCTCCATCATGCCAGTAATGCTCATGACCCTGAGAGGGGGTCCGCCTAGTACCCCGTTTACACCCAAGGCTACAGGAGCCCAAAGCCAAGGAGAAACGGCGGGTAACGGTGGAACTGGGGTCCAAACCTAGGCTGTCAGGTGCCTGAGCCCACACACTGAACCAGCATTTGGCAGTCACTATGCCCAGAAAAAGAAGGATGCTAGCTTTTTTTAAAAAGATACATAAGAAGCTCGCTTTTTATGGGGAAACAGTGAGGGATGATGTAGATCGGTGGCACTTAACTGTAAGACTCGCCGAGGCAGCGTGGGACAAGCCCCTGAAGCCCCTGGGGTTGGCTGGGGTAAATGCATGACAACGAGGGGGGACAAAAGTGCCACAGCCACACCTGGTTAATGTGAAACCAGGTACCGCGCAAAGCCTGGCCTCCCAGCTTAGACAACCCAGGCGTCACCGGGCCTCCCAGCCCGGTTTCACCCAAGTGACGAGTGGAAGTGTTTCCCCCAAACATTTGGCAACTTGCTCGCCCCTGCAAAGCAACACAAACAAGTGTTGCCAGAGTGGATGGCGGGCTGGCAGCGAAGCACACACTCTCCCGGAGGCAGCCGTCTGCCTGCCTCTGAAGGCGAGCGTTTTCCACGGGCCACATTTGCCAGGGCGGATGCCACCCCGTCCTGTAGCACAAGGAGCCATCTGATGATGCCCGGACGTCCCTCTCCAGTGAGACCTCTGGCACCCCCTGGCAGCGCGGCACCAGCCTTGGAGAGCACCGGCACAAGGTCGTGATGATCGCGAGCTGGGCTCCTGCTCGCATCCATTCTCCCTGTCCACACAGAGTGGGAGCCTGCCCGCTGAGCCCGCCACCAGTGGTCCCCACCGCCTCCAGCCACCCACCACTGCCGCTGTCCGGCCCTCCAGGTCCTGGATGCTCCGCAGGACCTCCACCACTGCCTGCTCGCTTTCACCCGCCTTCTCCACTGCCATCAGCCTGATCCAGGCCCCCTCCATCCCCCACCTGGAAGACAGCAGGACCTTAATTCCCCCTGACCCGTCTTCCATCTGTTCCACACAGAGCAGCCGGCACGATCTTGTTATGATGTAAATCAGATGTTAGTGTCCTAATTAAACTCCTCCAAAGGTTTCTCATTGCCCCTAGAATAAAGCTCTAAATCCTCCCCATGGCTCTGAGACCTATGTGGCCCCCTCACCCTGCCTCTTCCCCCCTGTACCTTCCCCTACAGTCCAACTACGCTGGCCCTGCCCTCTGTTCTCAAAACAACCAAGCTTGTTTCTGCCACAGGGCCTTTGCACTTGCTGTTTGGTCTTCTTGGAATGCGCATTCCTGAGACCTCAGCACTGCAAAAACAGTAACCTTCCTCATTATCCAGGTTTCAGCTCCAATACCACCTTCTCAGAGAGGCTCTCCCCAGGCAGCTGCGACCCTGACCTCTCCAGCCACTCCCTGGCACATCTCCTCTTGAATACTCCTTAGAGCCTTTACTATATATAATCTTGTGTATTGGCCTGCTTGTTCATTATATGCCTCTCCCATTAGAATCCAAGAGCTAAGGGGGCTGAGGCCTGCTCTGTTCTTTCCACCGCTCTATCCTCTAGCCTCCAACAGCACTTGGCACAGCAGGTGCTCCAGAAATATTTCTTGCATCGATACATAAGTGGGTGAATGTATGCATGAATGCACAACAACGAAATGAATGAATGCACACATGAATAAATGCAAGCACGCCTGCCTGCATAACCCAAGAGAAACCACTAGCGATGACCGTTAGAACAGGTCTCCCGCCTGAGCCAAAGATGGCCCGCGAGAGGGATGCTGTCGGCAACCCACCCAAACGCCCTCAGCTTTCACCTCTAACTCTGAGGGCTGCCTGCTGGGAAGACCTCCCCTCTCTGCCTGAGGCCTTTCTCCTGACCCCAGGAGCGTCCTGGCGCAGGGCAAGCCGGAAGTGCCGGAAAATTAATATCCCCACAAGCACGCAAATGAAGGATGGGCAGTTGGCAGATAAATACCCCTGCTGCCTCGCTTCTCTGTTGGGTAGGGGCTCCTGGAGCCCCACAGCAAGTCTGAGGCGGTTGCCCTCGGGGATAACCAGGGCCAAAACAGGCTTGGTGACCACTTGCCGTGGGTTCCCTTCCCTCCCCTGCTTCATTTCCCTGACCCCTCACCAGGGTTTGCTGGAACCACCTCCCAAGCAAACAACTTGCCCTGGGATCCCTGTCTGTGTTTGGGGGAACCCTGACTCTACCAGCCGTTTTCTGCCAGGCTACCTTTGCATGAGTGAGAGAGGCGGGAAGCTGCCCGTATCCACCCCTTGACCCCCTCTCTCCCGCCGCTGCCCCCTATAAGGCCTGTCATTATCATCCCGGCTCCTTACAGGTTCCTTACTTTAGGACTTTCAAACTTGAATTCCTCTGAAGTCCTTTGGCAAGAGAACACACACCTTCATCCTGGAGATGGTTCTCCTCCAGGCTGGCAAGAAAAAGAGAGAAAATCCCGTTCATATGGTAACATTTGTTGCGGAAGATGATGTCGATAAGGATTAGCCTGCTTGCCCCCCAGTTAGAAAATCCAACATCTGAAAATCTATATTTAGCAGATGAAGTAAGAAGAGATATAGTAGGAGTATGAGGGTTTTCAACTCCAGGGACGTCTCTGGGAGAGAATTCACCCCAGGGCTCCTCTATATAAAAGGTACCCTCACGTCCCAGTGATCTAATATCCTTTTCCCTTTCTTATTAATGGAAGCCTCCTTCGGTTTGGGCAACTATGTGCATGCACTTGGTGAAAAAAACTACCTTTTGACTCTCCACTACAGCCAGTGACATCCGCACGGCCATGAACACATAAGGGGAGGTTGACAGATGGGGCTCCGGGAAATTCTCTTTAAAATGGAGAGCTTGGGGCACCTGGGTGACTCAGTCGGTGAAGCATCCGACTCTTGGTTTCAGCTCGGGTCATGATCTCACGGTTCTTGGGTTTGAGCCCTGCGTCGGGCTGTGTGCTGACAGTGCGAAGCCTGCTTGGGATTCTCTCTCTCCCGCTCTCCCCGCCCCTCCCCTGCTTGTGTTCTCTCTCTCTCACAATAAACTTTAAAAATAAAAACAACAACAAAAGTAAAAATAAAATAAAAGGGAGAGCTGGCCTGGGCCTCCTGCCCTTCCTGGATATACAGACTGAATCTGGGGACACGGAAGCAGTGTCGCAGGTATAGCAGCCATCTGCTGACCGTGAGGCAACCAACCATGGCTTCAGGAGAAGCCACCGACTGAGGACCCCTGCTGGCCTCATGGAGCCATTACACCAGCCCTACGCCACCTACCTCCAGACGGGTTGGTTGGTCACGAAGTAAAGAAATCCTTTACTGGTTTGAGCCACTGTACCTAGAGTTCTTCCCTCACTTGCAGCCTAGTGTAGTCATAACTGATACACTCAACGGCGAGGCATGCCTCTAACAAGAATTTCCAAGTGGCAAAGTCCAATCAGGATATAATCAATGGGACACCGGCAGAGCTATCCCACCACAATATCCACTTTGTGACGGTGATCATGGGTTTCAAAGGCCTTCCGCTTCCTGGAGAAATCAGCATATTTATCTCCCTGATAGAATTGGGAACTGCCCAGAACAAAACGTCATAAGAAGTCCAAGCTAGTGGCATCTAAAGGACGGGAGGCTTAGAATCAGCTTCAGGTCAACAGTGTGAGCACAGTTTATGGCTCACCTTTTAACTTGCCCCAAACCCCACTCCACCTTCCAGGGAGACCTTCACTCTACTTCTCCTGCATTCTTAGGCACTCAGCCTCCCTTAGAATCCACAAAACGTGGGGTGCCTCGGTGGCTCATTTGGTTAAGCTTCTGACTTTGGCTCAAGGCACGATCTCGAGGTTTGTGAGTTCACGCCCCACGTCGGGCTCTGCACTTCGCACGGCCCGCTCCCGAGCCTCTGTCTCCCTCCCTCTGCCCCTCTCCCGCGCACGCTCTCTCTCTTTCAAAAATAAACATTTTTTAAAAATAAAATAAAACCTGGGAAAGGAACACCTGTGTTTAAAAAAGACTTTATGCATGTAACAATATATGCTTCACAGTTGGAAGCAGTCAGCCCCTCACTTTCCAGGTAAGAAACCTGGGATTCAGAGCTTATTTAACTTGCCTGAGATCACAGCAGGCCTTGAAGCTCAGCCTGCTTGACTCCAGAGTCTCGGGCCTCAACCATTAGGCCACATGGAGGCAGTATACAAGCCGACAAACCAGGAAATATAATTCCATTAAAAGAATTAGCACCTACGTGCCAGGCTCTATCAGCTTCATGCACCCAGCACATAGAAGGACAAACCCAACAGCCCAACCACTTGGTTATCCACCTCTGTTTTACCTGCTTCCATGGAGGAGGCCAAGGAATGAATGAGGCCTCCTCAAAGCAGGGAACCCCTCAACTCACCAGAGTTCTTCCAGTGTCACGTTCTTTTCCAACATTAAGGCTAAGGCTTGAGCCCCCACACTGCCGATGTTGTTTCCCACCAGGCTGGACGGAATCAAGGAACAAAAACACATCAGAGCAGGGAGGGACCTCAGAGGTAAGGTAACCCGGGAAGGGCAAAATGCACGAAGCACATAGCCCCACATCCTGGTCTGCTTCGTTCAGACATTACCAACTGACTACAGTGCTCATTTTCATTAAGCTAAGAAGCAGCCTTAGAACTCTTTCCAACGTGATGTCCTGGGTAGCCATTATTCATGGACTGCAGCTGGTCCTTGAGATAAAATATATCTGATCCAGGGGCGCCTGGGTGGCTCAGTCATTGGGACATCGGACTTGATTTCGGCTCAGGTCACGATCTCACAGTTCGTGGGTTCAAGCCCTGTGATGGGGGGCTCTGCGCTGTGTAAGCGTGCAGCCTGCTCGGAATTCTCCCTCCCTCCCTCTCTCCCCTTCCCCTGCTCATGCGCACGTGTATGCACACACACTCTCTCTCTCTCTCAAAATAAACCTAAAAAAATTTTTTTTTAATATATCTGATTCAGCCCCAAACCTTCAATTAACAGATAGGGAATCAAGACCCTTAAGGGGAGAAGGAACACCTCCAAAGTCACCCAGAAAGACTCAAGTGTCCTGACTCCAAACCCAAGGGTCTCTTCTTCACATACCACTGCCTAACACAGGGGGATAAGAACAAAGTTCAATCAAATGAAGGACCCTCAAAACTGGCCCAGGCCCCTCCCTTCCTCATCCTGGCTCCCTGTGACCATGCAGACCCCAAAGCTTACCTGAGCCACTTCAAGCTCTGGTGATCACCCAAGGCTTCAGCCAAGGCCTGGGCCCCTTCGTCACCCACCTTGTTGCCCCAGAACCTAAAAAGGCCAACAGATTGCATCATTTGGTCAGGGAGTAACTGCTATGTGTTCTAGACATGCGTGAACGGTGTCCTTCCTCGCCATGGTTCTGCCCCTCTGGGACCTTCCAGAAAGATCTCGGGGGGCTCCTAGGCCCCAGCAAAGTGGATCTGCCTCCACCTTTTGGGAGGGATGGTGAAACTGAATTCATTTTTCAGTCAGACTTACAGAATAGTAGAGGCCCACCCAGCACACGTCCTCAGGGACAAGGAACTCCGTCACTCACTCTCAAAGTCAATTCACAGCGTGGTGACATTTTCCTTGATATTTAGGTCAGATCTGCTTCCTGGTGCCTGCTACCCACAGGTCCTCAACTACCCTCTGGGAGCACCCAAAACAAGTCTCACTCTTCTCCCGCAAGCCAGCTCTCTCTCTTGTTCTTCCCTAATGTCCCCCATTTCCTCACGGTGTCATACTCCTTCACCTCCTGGGTCATCCCCCTCAGACCCACAGAAATTGAGAAACTTCCCTTTTCAAAGGTGGGGCCCAACTCGTTCCTTATGACCTGGCTGTTTTACATTTGGGAAGCTAGCCCAGACCTGTCTGTGCACATGTGAGCAAAGCTAGCCGAGCTAGGATGTTCACCACGCTTTCATTCATCCGGTTAATATTTATTGAGCTCTGGCTGTGTGCCAGCACTGCTCTGTGCCCCTGGGGAGAGAGCAAAAAACTACGTCATAGCGAAAAACCTAGAATAACGTGAGGGCGCACCGACACGGGGCCAGTTACATAGATTACAGACATCCAGCCAGTGGAATACCAACCAGCTAGTCTTTTAAAAATGAAGTCGTTGTGGTACAAAAGATATATTGTTAAGCAGGCAAAAAAAGAAAAAAAAAAA